TTGGACATGTAGTCCACCGCCACCAAGATGTATTCTGCATCTCCAAACTTTGGGAATGGACCCATGAAGTCGATCCCCCAGACGTCAAACAACTCCACTTGGAAGTTGTTCATGAGTGGCATTGAATCCCGAGCGTTGATGTTTCCATGCGTGTTCGGGGAACCGGATGGTCAAGGCGAGAGACATCTTTTGACAAACTCTTTTGTATCTTGATACATTATTGGCCGTATAAGAATCCGCTTTGGGACCCTTGATCTTGGCATGTCACGAAGAGACAAGGAATGCTCCATAGTGTCCTCCATAGGGTGATGCATGACATCTCTCTATGATCTTTGTGGCTTCAACCATTAGGACACATCTTCGTAGCAATCCATCAGCGTAGACTCGGTAGAGGTACGGATCATCCCACAAGTGGGAACGACTTTGATGCTTGAGTTTTCTCCTGTCTTCCTCTGGTGCAAAATATCCTACAACTATATAGTTCACAATATTTGCATACCATGGGTCCGAGTCTGTTACTTTAAGGAGTGTGCCATCCCTTAGATAGTCATTAATAGGTAACTCATGTGTATCCCTATGTTGAAGCCTAGACAAGTGATCAGCTACCGAGTTCTCTACTCCATTTTTATCTCGTATTTCTATGTCAAACTCTTGGAGTAGAAGAATCCATTGGATTAATCGAGGCTTAGCATCTTTCTTAGTGAGAAGGTATTTGAGAGCAGCATGATATGTATAAACAATTACCTTTGCCACCATTAAGTAAGACCTAAACTTATCTATTGCAAAGACAACAGCCAACAACTCCTTCTCTAGTTGTGGCATAGTTCAGCTATGCCCTAGACAAGGTTTTGCTAGTTGTTGACGGTCACTAACATCAATTATAACCGTCAACATAACTTGTATTTATACTTAATTCCATCACCAAATATAGGTATAGGGGTTTAAACTAATAAATTCTACGAGTTTTGGTAAATTTGTGTTTTTAGCAGGGTTTATCCAAAAACCATCAAGGGGGACCTATTCGTCAAAGGAAATTATAGAATTCCACCGTGAAACCGACGCGGGAAGACTCTAGAATACTCCAGAAGGTAAATCACCAAAGCGGAGACCGAGGCGCTGTTAGGTGGCGGCCCCACGGGTGGCCCTTAGGTCCACCTGCCAGCCTCCGCATCGCAATGTCGGTTCCCCACCGCCTCCTAGGTTGCATCTACGCCATCCTTTAAGCCGGTTTGATCCAAGGGCTCACGCTGGATGCTCCGGCCTATATATACCAGCCCCTACCACCCTCCTAGGAGCCATCTTAAAACCCTAATTCATATTCTCCTCGTTAGGATCAAGAGCCAGCTATCAAGAGAATATTAGTCCTCTATAGGATCTAGTCTTATGAATAGAAATAGTGAGATAGAGAGTGAGGGAAGAGTTTGGAGGAGGTGTCGGCTTGTCGATGCTCTCTCTATGGCTTGTACCTTGGTGGATCCAAGTTCTACTTGAGCTTGCCTTCGAGATATCTCTAGTAATCAACTTCTGATTCAAGTAAGCATCTTATTTATATTGTTCTTCAGGTTCACAACTCTTTTAAGTGCTTTATTCCTGTTCTAGAGGGAGTAGAGTATTAATCGTAAGAGTAAGCATGGTGCTTAGACTTAAATTAATCATGGATGCACCCTACATTTCGGAAGGTGGTAGATTGCGTGAGTGGCATAAGTTCTATATAGCCTGTACTATATAGCTTCGTTGATCCTTTGTAGTCCACCTCCCGTTTATAGGTGCACGTAGGACGCGGTTACGAAGGAAAGCATCCTCTGCTGGTGTCTTTCTAGAGTAATATCCTTAGTTGAATAGTAGAAGACATAAGCTTATCCAAGTAGAACTAGAGAACTTTAGTTATCCTCTCTACGCTCCTATTTATCCTTAGCCTTGTTACTACTCATAGTTAAGTTAAACCTTAACCTAATCGCTACCCCTTGTTAAGTTAGACCGTAGTTAGTCTCACACGTTTCCCTATGGATACGATACTTGGAATATTTCTGGGTGAAAGCTACAGCGATATCCATGCGCTTGTGGATTTATCTATGTGCGTTAAATATACCAACACTAGCATAGGATATAGCATAGTGCCTTTTATCCTTTGTTTGGCCCAAAACGGCCCCCACAGCAGAGTCGCTAGCACCGCACATGATTTCGAAGGGCAACTTCCAATCAGGTGGTTGGATGATTGGAGATGAAATGAGTGCCTTCTTAAAAGTTTGAAAGGCTTCAAAGCACTCATCATGAAAGGTGCATCTTTAGCTAAGAGGCTAGTTAGGGGCCTAGCGATTTGAGAAAAATCTTTGATGAATCGCCTGTAGAACCTTGCATGGCCTAGAAAGCTATGAATGCCTTTCACGTTCGTGGGAGGTGATAGTTGTTCAATGACTTCAATTTTTGCCTTGTCCACCTCTATCCCATGGGCGGACACCTTGTGTCCTAGCACTATTCCTTCCTAGACCATAAAATGGCATTTGTTCTAGTTCAGGACTAAGTGCTTTTCTTTACACCGTTGTAAGACCTTGTCTAGGTTCTCCAAACAATCGGTGAAGGTTTTTCCATACATAGTAAAGTCGTCCATGAACACCTCCATGATTTTCTCAATCATGTCGGAGAAAATAGACATCATGCACCGTTGAAAAGAAACTGGAGCATTGCATAATCCAAACGACATACATCGGTATGCATAAGTTCCATACGGGCATGTGAATGTAGTCTTACTTTGGTCATCGGGGTGGATCGAGATTTGATGATATCCGGAATACCCGTCAAGGAAACAAAAGAAGGAATGGATCGCGAGGCGTTCTAACATTTCATCAATGAACGACAATGGGAAGTGATCCTTCTGAGTGGCCTTGTTAAGTTTCCGATAGTCAATGCACATCCACCTAGTGACAGTTCCTTGAGGGATAAGTTCATTCTTTTCATTCTCAATGACTATCATCCCTTCTTTCTTTGGCACTACTTGGACAGGGCTAACCTAGTCGCTCTATGGCACGGGATAGATAATCCCGGCATGGGAAAGTTTGAGGACCTCTTTCTTAACAACCTCTCGCATAGCGTTGTTAAGTATCCGCTGGGGTTCCCTCGATGGTGAAGAATCAAGATTGATAGGGATACGATGAATGTAGAGAGTGGGACTAACCCCCGGCAGTCCTCGATATCATCCCTCAAACCCATAAGATTGTTATGGGTCTATTTGGTTGTCTGCGTAGCTTTTTATCTAGGCAACAATAGTACAACCTGTCTCTGTTTGGCTTCGTAGTGCAACTTGTCTCTGTTTGGCTACCTGTATAAGCCAATATACAGGATAGCACTCTCCTCATACCACGCTCAGGTTGGATCACACTATTCGCCCAAATTCCCCGTATCCACCTATGCAGGCCTGCATTTGCATCCGGACTGCAGCTCTCTGTTCGGCAGGGGCTGGCTGGCTGGCTGGGCTAGCCAGCCCCCTCACATAGACACTATTCATATAAACCAGCCAACAGTACTTCTCTCTCACATAAACGAACCAGCAACGATACGATCCAGCCAACCGAACAGGCTGCTCGCATCTGCACTGCAGGCTTGATGCATCCGCTATGCAAAATTCGCGGCTTCACAAGGGGGAGACGAGGAGTAGCCTGGCTTCGAGAACACGCGGGGATGCACGGGCTCCCTCGCGGCGGAGCGGCATCGGAGTGGTCGCGACAGCGCGGCATCGGCGCACGCGCGGGGATTCACGGGCTCCCTTGCGGCGGCGAGCGGCCTCCCCAGCGGCGGCTTCATTCTCACGGCGGCCGGCGAGATCCGGTTATGGCACGACCTCCCCCTCATGGCGGCGCGCGGCAGCGCGGCCCTGGCATCGGTCGCGGTCGCGGTCGCGGCGGCGCAACATCACGGTGGCATCGGGCATCGAGTGCGGCATCCGGGTGGGTTCTTGCGTCCGTAACTCCGTGCTCGTGAGCACGCGCGCGCGACGAACGCAGACGCCGCGGTGACGAGCCGGCCGGCCGCCCGCAAGGCCGCAACACGGCAAGATGCTAGCTATCATCCCTTCCGTCAAGATGCTAGCAACACGAATTCAGGTGGCTTGGCGTTTGGCTGTCGGTCGTCACGTACAAATGTCGCACTCGCACCTCTCCGTCGCGTCGCTCGTCGTAGCCATCGTTGACCACCTGCGTGTCGCAGCTTCCGAGCAGGGCGATTTAACCGTGGATCTCAAGCGCCGCTGGACATGGCGTGGTGGCGCTGGGCGTGGGAGAGGATGGAACATGCTCAGCTTTCCTTGGCGTGGCAGAGCACTAGCTTGAGGGGAGAGAAGAGCTCGAGATGCTGGATTGGAAGCACGAGCTGAGGATGTTCGACGAAATGCCATTGCCAATTTGGTATTTCATCTGTAAACAACCAAATAATGCACACACAATATAGCATAATAATACAACGCAACCAAACAGAGGCACAACCAGTGCATCAGAGTAGTGCAACACAACCAAACAACACTAGATTGCATTCACCGTGTAGCCTATGCTGCATAACCTTTAATGCAGTAACCAATCATACGTCACGGTAGAATGTCTTCAATAGGTGATAAAAAGTATCTAAATCCAAAATGGATCTCGAACGGTAATGCATTATCCTCCAACAGAGTATTTATGTAGGAGATCTATTTTATGTATGAGGAGAGATACATCCTAAATTTAAGTACCTAAGACTTATTTATGAAAAGAGTTTTCTCGTGGATCTCGTCGTTGGAGAAGGAAAAAAAAAGGTACGTACTCTTTGACGCTCTTGTATTTTGGGTGGCGTCGGCGGAACGAGCGCACGTTCCCCGTGGCCACAGGCCCGACCTCCTTTTGTTCTAGGCTGGCTTTCCCTTTCGCAGCCGTGTCAGCTCCACGCCGTGGAGACCCGCGACACCGCAGCTGCGAAAGCCAACTGGAACCAGCAGCTCTGCAGCCGCGTCACGGGTAGAGACTAGAGAGGCCTCGATGGCGCAAAAGCCGCCGCCGCCGACTGGGACGACGACGAACCCTGCCCCACTCCCAGTCTCCCGTCGTCTCGTTACCCCCCAAGACAACACAAACCCCCACCCCGATTCGCACAAGGAAACCCAATTACCCAAGACGAAATCACAGAACCCCACCGCATCAAGCCTGGCCCATGCCATGTCGCAGCCCGATTCCGACGCCATCGTTGCCGACGCCGCGGCGGCGGCGACGGATCCCTCCCCAGCCCCAGCCCCGGCCCCACCGGTGGTCGAGTGGCCCGAGGGCGGCGCGCTGACGCGGGATTGGGTGGCGGGGCTGGAATCCACGCTGGACTGGTGCTCGCGGCACCTCCCCGGGGACCGGCTCCCGGCGGTGCTCCCGCCCGCGCTGGTCCAGCGCCTGGTCCTGGCCGCCGCCGCCATCCTGCACCGCGAGCCCAACCTCGTCCGCGTCGACCCGCGCCCCGGCCAGGCCGTCGTCGTCGTCGGGGACGTCCACGGCCAGCTCCACGACGTCCTCTTCCTGCTCCGCGACGCCGGGTTCCCTTCCGAGGACCGCATCTTCGTCTTCAATGGCGACTACGTCGACCGCGGCGCCTGGGGCCTCGAGACCTTCCTCCTGCTCCTCGCCTGGAAGGTGAATTCTGCTGCGGATTTTCCAACTCGCTGTTAAGCTTCATGCGTATCTCGATTCCATTTTGTTTTGTTGGATCTGCGAGATTTATGAGAATATAGCTATGCAGTTAATAGATTTTCCATAGCTAGTGCAAACTGGCTCAGTTAATAACTAATAATGATGTCTCCCCTTTGTTTGGATTGGACTTGTATAACAATAGTAGATAGCAAGACAGTTAATAGATTTTCCATAGGTAATGCAAACTGGCTGAGTTGTTTTCATGGCAGCACAGACTCTGACGAATCATGATGTCTCCCTTTTGTTTGGATTGGACTTAATAACAACTATAGTTTGCTAATTTTGCGCGATATGCAACTAAATGAAATCAGCATAGAATTATGAGTCATGATCCACACAATTTGTTTTGGAGTACTTGTTATCGTTTCCTCAGCATTTGACGGCTGAAATATTAATGATGTGATATATATTTAGACATTTGACTGTTATTAACTCACACAAGCATACTTGGATTCCATTTTTATTTTGTTGGATCTGCTAGATTTATGGGAAATAGATTGATAGATAGCAAGGCAGTTAATAGATTTTCCATAGGTAATGTGCAAACTGGCTGAGATAACGAATAATGATGTCTCCCCTTTGTTTGTGTTGGATTTATATAACAATAGATAACAAAGACAGTTAATAGGTTTTCCATAGGTAATGCAAACTGGCTGAGTTGTTTTCATGGCAGTGTTGACTCTAACGAATAATGATGTCTCCCCTTTGTTTGGATTGTACTTAATAACAGTTATAAGTTTGCTCATTTTGTGCGATATGCAACTAAATGAAATCAACATAGAATTATGAGTCATGATCCACACATTATTTATTTTTGGGAGTATCTGTTCTCGTTTCCTCAGCATTCAATGGCTGAAATATCAATGATGTGATATATATTTAGACAGTTGGCAGTTAACTTGCACAAGCATGCTTGTCCTCCTTTGGCATTCTAAAAGTGATCTATAAAAACTTTTTATTTCAACAATCAAACAGTGTAATAACATAAATGGTTGCTAATTAGTGGTTCTTGTTTTCTTTCAGGTGCTACTCCCGAATTGTGTGTTCCTTCTTCGGGGAAATCACGAATCCAAGTACTGCACGTCAGTATATGGTTTCGAGAAGGAGGTAATGACTAAATACAAAGATCAGGGCCCTCAAGTTTATCGGAAGTTTTTAAGATGTTTTGAGGACCTTCCTCTAGCGACAATAATAGCAGGAAGCGTGTACACTGCACACGGAGGTGTCTTTCGTGGAACGATTGTTGTGCCATCGAAGAGATCAAAGAAGGGAAAGAAGGGTCATAAATTCGAAGCGGATTTTACTGTTGATCCGACTGCTATGAAACTTGGATCCTTAGATGAGTTATTGAAAGCAAGGAGAACTGTTCTTGACCCTCCTTGGGAAGGCTCAAATTTGATCCCTGGGGATGTGCTCTGGTCTGACCCTTCCTTGCAGATGGGTCTTTCACCGAATAAAGAACGAGGCATCGGTTTGCTTTGGGGTCCAGATATCACTCAACAGTTTTTGCGGACAAATCATTTGAAGGTTCGTTTTGTTTCATTTATTACTCTTCCTGTTAATATTTCAAAATTTTAAGAACAACCAATCATATGAAAAATTTGCAATGTACGATCATACTGTAAATCTGATGGTGCACATAAAGAAGTGTTGTAAGCTGATTTGCATGGGTATACCCCCGGCCTAGTCTGTAAAGTGATCCTTGCTTATTTTTAGAATATCCAATTGATTGAACTGTGTGGTTGTCTAGTTGAGGATTATATAAAACTCCTTAATAGCTTCAGGCGACAAGCGTGTAGTAACATCCCAGCGTTTCTAAAAAAAAGGACGTACCCAGTGCAGAGAGCTCCCGCTCTGTGTTTTGAAAATTGTTATGTTGGTATAGATGTCACCTAATATGTGGATGCAGTGAATGTGAGATATTACTTATTAACGTACTTGAATTGAGTTACATGATTCTAATTTCTTCTGTGTTAGTGTTCAATGGTATGGCTTTAGTCATCTTTGAACTTGGTCAGCTGGTATGTTTTGTCGTGTAGCCCGTTGAGCATTTTAGTTCCATAATATTTGAAAGTTAGCATCATGGTAGAACTGTATTTGTTTTAAGTTCACATGCTTACTTCATCTTTTCATTCAACAAAGCTAATCATCAGGTCACATGAAGGTCCAGACGCAAGAGACAAGCGACATGATCTCTTAGGAATGGATAATGGATATACAATTGATCATGAAGTAGAATGTGGGAAACTAATTACTCTCTTCAGTGCACCAGACTACCCACAATTTCAGGTGATAATTTTTGCTTCCATCTTTGATATTGAATCCCTTCTTGGCTTTTTGTTGCAAGTTCTGTAAGAGATTTATTCAGCTTCTAAAACTTTGTGACTAATATATAAGTTCTGCCTTTTTTTGTATCCTTTGCATATTATGGTAATAATAATAATAATATGGTGTTAACTCTTTGTTTCTGGACCTGGTATAGGCTTCAGAGGAGCGACATAACAATCGTGGAGCATATATTGTCCTTAATCCACCTGATTTTGCTACTCCTGTTTTCCGTAGCTTTGAAGCTGTAAAGCCTCGACCTGCGGTATGTGACTCAATCCTCAATAATATACTCAGAACTACTTGATTTTGTAATGTGAGACTTAAACAATCAATCTGGAGTGGGGGAAACAAATCAATTGACTCGGAGTATCTTTTTTCTTTTGTTTTCCTATATATATGCAGGCCCACCCGTTCTATGATTTCGAAGAAGTGATCGACTCAGATGAAGAGTTGAATTTGGACGCCATGGACAGTGGCACGTCGAGCCTGTCATGATGACTTGTCATGTACCTTTTGTATTTATCACTCCGATTGTTGCCAAGGAAGCGTGGCATCATGGTTTTTGTTGTAGCTAATGCCAACGTAGTCACGGTGCAGGTTTCTGGATGGCCTCCTGTCAAGCACGCCAATCTGATTTGTTGGTTCGGTTTAGGTTGATCTGTATTTAAAATTAAGTGACCCAGAAACATGGCATCCAAAGATTGAACGTGTGAAACCAGCGGTTGCAAGGATCTTAATCTGTAAACCTTCTTGTTGCTGAAAATGCTGATGCATTCGATCATTCAGGCCTAATTTGGAAACTCTAATCTGTTGAGATGCCAGACTTTTTCCTAGGTGGGTAATGTTAGAAATTTAGGCATTTTCATGTTAAAATTAATCTAGAAAAATAATAACAAATTTATAATGACAAATATGTGCACGTGTGTGATTGTACTACTGCTCAGATTAGTAGCAAATATGTTTATAAACAACATACTGATCATAGTGAAAATGAGATTGAATTTAACCAATTTGAGAATAAAGATATTCCCTGCGGAGGGACCCAAGCTCAAAGCACCGGTGGCTCTAGTCCCACTCATGGTGAGTTGCTCGAAGTCGTGGACTATAGTCGGTGGAGGAAGATGTACGCAGTAGTCCCTCGAACGTCCATCGGGAAGTAGACGATCCGAGGAAGAAAGAAGACGTCGGTAGTCACCAGAAAGAAGCGAGCAGTCGCGAAGACGCTCCCCAAAAAACTGATCGCCCGCACACCCGAGAAGATGTCACAGATGCAGATGGTGACCCAAAAACCTGATCGTCCCGCACACCCGAGAAGATGTCATAGATACAGACGGTGATTCCGGAGGCCTGCTCTCCCAACTCTCCGTTCGCGCAGAGGATCGGGACGGAGAAACTTAGAAAGCAATGCAGTAGTGAGAAGTGAAAAACACTAATCGACTATCTTAAGATTTTTCAAACTAGGAACATCCAATGATAGTTCTATTGTTGTTTTGTCTTTTCCCAAGAGGATTGATACATACATATATATAGGGATGAGAACTCCCTACCTCCACATCAACTAGCAATATGGTACTAATTGACGTTGCATCTTTCACCTCTACTCATGGACTTAAACAATAAAGCCCATTATGGAACAAATATATTGGGGCTTTGAGATTTATTAGAATTTCTTCATATGGATTTAGGGAATTTTATCCATATAAATTCTAACAATCCCCACCAGATCTCAAAAGTCCAATATAGATATTTTCTTTCTCCCACTACTGTTTATATATCAGTGTTTTTCAGCAGAGACTGTTAAGTTGAACATCCGCCTAGAGCTTCAAGCTACATCTATCCACAACTTGAACAATGGACTACGCCTTGAACTGCAAGTTTTGTGTGAATAAGTTTCACCTAAACTCTTTACTGATACTAGATTGCCAAAAGCATCTCCTCTGGTTGGAGCATATAAGTAATACTCTTGGGCCTTTCATGAGTATCTAGAGATCACCCAAATCTCATAGACTGTGACTAGTAGTCGAACTCATATAGCTGTATTCCTCAAAAGATGTTCTGTAGGACAACATCTTTGCTTCAGCAAGTCATTTGAAACACATTAAGGTAAAAACCAACTTGCCTTACAACAAAGGAAAGACGTGCATCTGACATGGGCCAAGTTAAAGGTCTTTCTTCACAGTCTACCACTGGCTTGTTTCATCATCCTACTTCACGAGATCTCCGATCACATAGAATATTACCACCATGATAGACTTCATGTGGATCTCAAGCGTATTTCACTCGATGCACTATCTATCACATTACGTGACAGTCCTTTAGTGAATTGATCTGTCAGATTTTTAGATGTGTGTACATAGTCCAACGCTATTACTCCGGATTTTCTCAAATTTCTGACATATTTTAATCTCCGCTTAACATGCCTTGTGGACTTCATGTTATCCTTAGAACTGTTTACCTTAGTTATTACAGTTTGGTTGTCACAGTTCATAGAAATAGCCAGTATAGGTTTCTCTATAACCGGTAAATCCATAAGGAGTTCACGAAGCTACTCGGCCTCAGCGCCAGTGGTGTATAATGTTGTGAGTTCTGCTTCCATAGTTGACTTCGTTAAAACGGTCTGCTTGCAAGACTTCTAGACAAGGATGGCAATGGGGCGGTTTCGGGTCGGATATCCGCAGGGTTCGGGTCTTGTGGGTTCGGGTTCGGGGATGATTTCTCACCCACGGTTTTTGGGTTCAGGGCCTCAAAACCAATCGAGTTCGGTTTCGGGTTTGGTTTTCCACCCGTGGATATCCAATGGATATCCAAAATAAATCATTTGGAATTAAAACTCATGTTTTATAATATGCTAATAATAACTTGTTTACTTATATTATTAAATTTATTCTAAGTTGACTCATGAAAATATTTATTATTTGTTGCCTCTTGTTTATACATGTGAATATGTGTATATATAGCATGCATATGTTTATAGAAAGTCCTTATTTCTCTTACTATGTTGTCATACAAAGCGGGTTTCGAGTATCCATTCGGGTTTCGGGTATCCACGGGTTTGGTTTTGGGGATGGATTATCACCGAATCGGTGTTCTGGTGCGGTTTTGGGTTTCGATTTCGGGTTTCGGGTTCGGGTGCACAGAGACTCCACCGATCTGAATCCGCCCCGTTGCCATCCCTACTTCCAGGAAATAGCGCCATCTCCAAGCAAGAACATATATCCGCTTGTGGCATAAAGCTCATCAGCATCAGATATCTAGTTAGCATCATAGAAACTCTCTAGTACCTTTGGGTACCCGGTATAGTGAATGACATAGCTCATAGTACCTTTGAGATAACGTAGTACTCTCTCAAGAGCACGCTAATGATTATCTCCCGGATGTGACACAAACCAGCTTAGTTTGCTCATAGCAAACAAGATATTAGGTCTCATAGCGCTAGCCAGATACATAAGCGAACCAATAATTTAGGAGTATCTCAATTGATCCCTTGCTATTCTTCGATTTTTCCTTAATATCACACTAGGTTCATAAGGCGTAGGAGCAGGTTGACCGTCACTAAACCCAAAGTGACTCAATACCTTTTCCATATAGTGGGATTGTAAAAGTGTAACCCCATTATTGCCTTCTCTTAATAGCTTGATATTAAGAATAACATCAGCTTCTCCTAAGTCTTTCATCTCAAAATTATTAGATAACAGGTCTTTAACCTCCTTAATCACATTAAGGTTGGTTCCAAAGATCACTATGTCATCAACATATAAACACAAGATCACTCCTTCGCCCCCAGCATACCGATAGTATACACATGTGTCAGCTTCATTTACAACAAAGCCGACATATGTCAAAGTTCTGTCAAACTTCTCATGCCACTGCTTAGGAGCTTGTTTTAGACCATATAAGGACTTCAATAACTTACACAACATGCCCTCTTGACCATTTGCTACAAATCCATCTGGCTAATCCATATAGATCTGCTCCTCTAACTCTCTATTTAGGAAAGTCGTCTTTACATCCATCTGATGAATGATAAGACCATAAGAGGTAGCCAGAGAAAGTAACACTCGAATTGTGGTCAATCGAGCAACAGGTGAATAAGTATCGAAGAAATCTTCACCTTCTTTCTGGGTATAACCCTTAGCCATAAGCCTTGCCTTATACCTCTCAATTGTACCATCAGGCATAAGCTTTTTCTTGAACACCCATTTGCATCCTATTGGTTTACATCCATAAGGATGTTTAACAATTTCTCAAGTTACATTAGACATAATTGAATCCATCTCACTCTGTACTGCTTCCTTCCATAAGTCAGCATCAGGAGAGGAATATGCCTCCTCAATGGTTCTTGGTATGTCATCCATAAGGTACACAATTTAGTCATCGCTAAAATACTTTGCAGTCCGTTGTCTCTTACTCTTTTGAGTTACTACAATGTCATCCTCCTCAGGATTATGCATATGAAGTTCCTCAGAATATTCTATCAGAATAAATTGATCATGGTGAATTATAGGTTCGCGCATTTTTCATGGGAAAATCACTTTTAAAAAATGTAGTGTCTCTGGACTCCATGATAGTACCAACATGCATGTCAGGTACCCCAGAATGTATAATTAAGAATCTATATCCAACGCTATGAATAGCATAACCAAGGAAAACACAATCAATAATTTTAGGTCCAAGTTTGCGCTTTTTGTTAATTGGCACATTCACTTTGGCCAAACAACCCCAAGTGCGCAAATATGAGAGATTTAATCTTTTCTTTTCCCATTCATCAAAGGGGAGAATTCTTTATTTGGCACCGAAACAAATCACTCTTCCGCATTTGGCACTAGAAATTTTGAACTTTCTTATCTAGCATCAACTTAAAAATTCCTTCCGTATATGGCACTTCCGTCCATTTGAGGCATCCCTCCGTTAGTTGACTAGGAAGACCATGTCATCTTTTCATTAGAAGTACCAAAATGCCCATGTTTATTCAGTCTCGTGCGTGCGTCCATCTCCCTCGAGTCTCTCCTTTCTCCCGTCGCTCCTCTGTTCTAAAAACCAGAGACACAAACCCTAGAGAGAATGGAGGCCGGAGGATATGAGGATGGGGAAAAGGAGGCGCCGGCCGCCGGTGCCCAGGAACTCACGGGGCGGGTCCCCAGCTCGAGGCGCCCCATAGTCAGCCAAGCTAGCCCCATGGTCGTAGATCGAGGCGTGGGTCCGACGGGGTAGGCTCACCGGCCGACGCTGGCCCCATCTCGTGGCACGTGGTGCGCGGGGGGAGGGGCGGCCTCGCCCGGTGGCATTGGCGGCAGCTCGTGGCATGGCGGGGCGGCCTCGCTCGGTGGCGCACTCACGGCCGTGGTGGCTGGCCTCGCCCGATGGCGCTGGTGCGAGCCACTGGCCGCAGCAGATCTGGGTGGGTGAGCTCACCACCGAGCACTTGAGCAGAGCTGAGACCAGCATGTGATCGGTGGGCGTGGTGGCCTCCCAAGCAAGCGATCCCCAAGGGCGCA